GTGCAAATCTACAATCTAAATAGTTACATAGTAGAGTAATAAAATAAAATAAGATGTTCCTCTTTGATATAGTTTGCTAAAAGTCATTGAGCTTGAGAATATTAATTAACATGTGTTTCAAAAAGGGGCAAAATTCATCAGCCCTCTTTCTCCTAGATAGAAACAAAAGTTCCTTTTCGAAAGATAACGTTTCGTGCAAATCTACAATATAAATAGTTACATAGTAGAGTAATAAAATAAAATAAGATGTTCCTCTTTGATATAGTTTGCTAAAGGTCAGTGAGCGCTTGAGGATATTAATACTACGCGTGTTTAAAAAAGGAGCGAAATTCATCAGCCCTCTTTCTCCTAGATAAAAACAAAGAAAGATAGTGTTTCATGCAAATCTACAATCTAAACATTTACATAGTAATAAAATAAAATACGGTATTTTAATGTAGAATTTTATTTACATAGTAATAAAATAAAATAACGTATTTTAATGTAAATTTACAGAGTAATAAAATAAAATAAGGTATTTTAATGTAGTTTGCTAACACCGATTACACGTGTTTAAAAATTTATCATTCTCCCTTTTTTTCCTGCAACAAAGAATAGAACTTATTTCTTTGATCACTGCTCGAAGAACAATCAAGCGTCAAAGAGACAGCAAAGTTCCTCTGCCACGCAATTTACGAACTATAACAAGCGTACCAATTATCCTCGTCAACAGAGGGGAAGAAAAATATACGAAATTTCGCGCTTCTTCTACCTCTTTCGCTGTTCGTAGAGAAACACGAAAAATCGAAGAGTCCTCGGTCGAGAGTTCTGCTTCTGGCAAAGGGATTGCAATACAGATCCGCCGTCGCATCGAATTAATCGCTCTCCATTCGCAATAATGTATTCGAGGCACGTTCCACCGGAAGCCGCAATGCGATCGTAGGAGCGCTGGGGATGAGAAAGAAAAAGAAAGTGAATCTTTACGCGGCGGGAAATATAACGATCGTTTAACAGTAAATCCTGCGCGGTTGCATAAAGCGGTCGGTTAATCCGGCTCGCATAAACGATAGTATAGTACTATGTGTCTCGGATCCCGGCGGGTATAAAAATCGTATTGTGCAATTATCGGGCGTTTCATCCTAATTTAGTAACGTTTGAAGAAATAAGAGAGAGAGAGAGAGAAGGATGGGTATACGGGACCATTTCTTCTTGCTAGGCGAGACACACGCGGCCATTTATTACGGTATTCATTTATTAAGACCACCTGGGATGTGTGCTGTAATTACGCTGCCTGAAACTGCGTGAAACCAGTTCGACAGTGAGCCTGGCGATAACTAAGGACAAGCCACGCACTGTTGCGATCCTCTCGCCGTTCTTCGCGAGGCTGACCGCCGTTGAACCGGAACTCTTGACAAATTTCGTTTACGTCATCTCGATCGTCATTTACAGAATTTTCCCATCCTTTTGAATTTCACTTCAGACTTCACTCGTCAGACGACTGCGAAATTACGAAATTTGTAAGAATATGCCCTTACCACCAATTTTTTTTTTTATTATTTGAATAGAAAATAATAGAATAATAGTAGAAATAATAGAAAATAATAAATAATAATAATAGAAATAATAGAAAACAATAGATAATAATAGAGAATAATAAATAATAGTAATAGAAAGAAGTAAAAAATTTTCAAAAATTAAAAAGAAAAATACTTTATATTTCAGTAATTTGCACGTATATCCTATGTCCTGTGTAACATAAAAGTTCAATGCTCCGTAATGAAAAATAGAAACAAAAATATAATAAAAATCGTGTAAGAAGGAAGAAATCTCAAAGATATTATCACAATCGTACATATATATATATATATATATATATATATATATATATATATATATATATATATATATATATATATATATATATATATATATGTATCAATAACAACAGAAATGTAGACTAATTGTTTTGTTCAGTATTTAAAGTGGTCGATGCATAAAGCTACTTTGCAGTTATCACACTGATAAATTGTCTCTCTTCTTTTCTTTTAAGATAAACAACACAACACACTTTTGAGTTTTTCTTGTTGAAATTCTTTCTATCATTGTTGGAAAACGTCGTCCAGTAAACCCTGATGGCCATCTTGTAACTTTTCGTATTTTCTTTGGTACTTTCAACTTTTCTTTTATATTATCTTCTACTAATTTCTTCAGCCAATTTTTGTTTGAAGACGCTCTGAAAGTGCT